TGCTTTTGTGCTTTAGTTTGCAATGTGCACAATCGAGACCCAAAAGTGATATTTTCCATGCACAACTTGAGCTTTTGGGAAAAAGTATTATAAAAAACAAATCTGATTGAGGGCCTCCTGTACCCATCCAGGAAGTGCAGGTCCTGATTAGAGCAGCTGAAATGCAAGAACCCACCTGCTGTATTGCAAGGAGCATTCACTCTGCTCAAAGTAAGAATGGGAGAATAATGACTGTCTGAAGTGGCCAATTATTTCAGCAATAATGACACCATGCTTCACAGTGCAAGTTTTAGAGCAAAAGCAATTTGACAGTGTATGCTTCTTTCCCAATCACTGTCATTGTATATGAAATACAAAGACATGATATTTTCCTGTGAAGTAAGAAGGAAGTTTCCAGAAACTGTTTTACTAGTAGGGTATTTGATTACATGTTCAGAAAATCCCAATACAAACAGTGCATTTACTGGTATGCAGGAGAGATGTGCACATGCACAGTTTGCATTAGGTTACGATGTTTCTAAGTAGGCAGTGTAAATTGTCATTAAATGGGTAAACCCTGAAGCATTTGTTCAGTTGCTCTAAAGAAGCAAAGTCCTGATGATTTAAAATCATAAGGAAAAGCAAAGGAAAAGTGCTAGGATCATAGATTTGTACTGTTTTTCTGACCTTGTACTTACCTATTTTTAACATTTAATATATCATAAAACTATTCCTTACTGTCTATTGATACTTTTGCTGTTGTTGTTTTGTTGTTTGTTTGGTTTTAATACTGGGTTTGTCTGTGTTGCCTTGGCACTTACTCTGTAGACAAGGCTGGCCTTGAGCTCACAGAAATCTGCCTGACTCTGGCTCTGAGTGCTGGGATTAAAGGTATGTGCCACTAAAACCGGGCTTCAATAAGTATGTTTTAAAGCAATTCTTATATTATTATTCAGTTTTAAAATATACAGAGCAACCCTGTCTGTCTCAAAAAACCAAACCAAACAAACAAAAACTCAGTGAGTATTCACCTGACAAAGGTCAGGACAGTCATTTATTTGTACTCTTAACTTTCTCAGAAATGGCTATAATTGACCAAGGTCTGCCACTGTGTAGCAGCCTCTACAGACTCTCATGGGAAGGACAGAGTTTACATTAATGAATCACCTGAGATGCAAAATATATTACGACATCAGAGAAAACATTTCATATTTCACTACTTTCTTCTTTCTACCTTTTGACTTACAATTGATTGAAAAGAATCTCAATAATTTAATTTAATAATATATGTCTAAATTGGCAAGGATGTTTTCAGTGTAAGTGCATTTTAGGAATGTTTCAAGGATCTTGATACAGTTAACATTGGAGGGAGAAAGACGGGTGTTGACCTTGGATGTTCTTGGTTTGAAGAACAATTAGAGCTACTGTCTTGAAAACATGGATAAATGAAGGTTCATCAAGTTAAGGAAAACAACAAGGATGGATGAGCAAGTGAAGGTCGAGCGTAATAAAACTGGATCTGGCAAGTTAAGCTTGGGCTGATTAGTTTCTCTGTTCATCAAATATTAAGGCCCTTCTGTATGCCAGGTACTATTCTGAGAGCAGTGAGGTTGCAGTCTGCAAAAAGCATACTGGTCCCATGGCTCTTTGGCTCTTGCAGTCTGATGTGATAAAAATGACAGTGAATAGTGATGCAGGTACAGAAATAAAGCAAGGATTTTAAAGAATAATACAGTGCATAAAACATAAAACAAGATGACAAAAAACATTATGTGAGACAGGTGGCATTTTTGAAACACTGGTCAGAAAATAAACATCCTGAGAACTGATATTTGATCCTTCAAAATGGAATGTATACAGTCCTAAGAAGCCTAATGGAGAGAACTCTTCAAATGGCAGAGATGCTGTTACTAAAAAGGGAATCAAATTCAGCATCTTTGAAGTCCAGGAAGTTTGTAAAGGCAGCATGTATATTTGTTCAGAGTAGTGGGCAGGTTTCTGTAGGATTTATAGGTGATCAAATACCATAACCCTTAGGCTAGAAGACTTTGGTCCTTAGAACACAAGACTGGGACTATACAAACTTATCAACACTGTCTACCTCCAGATGACTGTTCTTACTATGGGAGAGGGTAAGAAAGCACTGACAAGGTAAACAAGCAACTTGAATAAAGCCGACACCTAACAAAGTGAAAGTCATCCCCTCTTTAACTAGGTCTAGGTGACATAGCCTAGACTCATCTAAGAGGAACACTTAGCTTGAGGAACTCTCAAATCACCTTGTCCTTTGAGCATGTCTATGGGGGATTATTTTGATTTTTAATTGACAAAGGAAGGCCCAACATACCATGGATGGCACCATTCCTTGAGAAGGTGATCCTGGGCTATATAAAGAAACTAGGTAAGCATGAACATAGGAACAAGCCAGAAAACAACATTATATCATGGTTTCTGCTTCAAATTAACAGCTTGACTTCCTGCCTTTACTTCCCTCAATGACTGAGTACACCTAACAAGGTGAAACAAATTCATCCCTTCTATGATTGTCTTTTGGTTATGGTGTCTGCAGTACAAAACAATGTTAGGACAAGCCACATGTAGTTTCAAGAAAGATTGTGTAATAGAATCAAGTGAAGTGAGTAACAGGACAAAGATATTTCTAATTCAAGTGGAAGTGAGGATCTTTAGTGAAGTTTTCTGATATAGTTACTTAAAGCAACAGAAGACAAACACAGTAGGGTATATATCAAAAATATAAATGAAATAAAGAAGTGATTCAATGTGAAATAAAATGAGAAAATAAATGAGTCAATCTAAAGCACTTATAAAACTGGCAAAAATCACAAGCCCCATTGCACCTAACAAGGTTGGTTCCTCTTTGAGCTTGTTGTCATTGGTAGTTGCCTAGTATTCCAACTGATGGAACTTAACCAAGGTACATGTGGGCAAGACTAATTGGGCATAGTGTGTCATCAAAATAAGGAAAGGAAGGAAGGAAAAAGAAAATGACAAAGGTAAGATGGTGGTATATTGAGCATATAGGTAAGTTAGGGATGGACATTACCCTATTGGGGAGTGTGATAATATTTCATTATATTTATGTATGAAGTTCACAAAGAATGAAATTCTAATCAAGTTTTTAAAACGGTTGCTTTAAACTCATGAAAACCTAAAAATGAGACATAATCATCATTGCTTCTATGAATCATATAATTCTCAGTTTCACATTCCATCACCATAAGGGCATATGGTCACCTATAATATCTTGTTTATGAATTTAAAAAGAGATTAAAACTAAAGTATGACCTTCCATTTCTGTGAATCTTAGTGATAACTTTAAAAAAATGTATAGATACTGCACAACTATTAAATAATATAAAATAAATTCTTGTAGACTATTAAAGAAGTGTTACATTTGCTTATGCTGTGGAATATTTGTTTAGTGATACAAAAGTATATTGCATCTATTTAACCCTGTGAATCTGTGTTACTGTGACTGTCTAAAACACATACTTTATCTAATAAAGACATGAATAGCCAATGGAAAGGCAGGAGAAAGGATAGGCAGGACTTGTAGGCAGAGAGAATCAGTACGAGGAGAAATCTGAGAGGAGAAAAAAATCGAGTAGCAAGAGATAAAGGAGGAGGACACTAGGGCCAGCCAGCCATCTACATAGCCAGACATGGAGTAAGAAGTAAAGAAAAGATACAGAAATAGAAAAAAGTAGAAGCCCAGAGGCAAAAGGTAGATGGGCTAATTTAAGTTAAGAAAAGCTGGCTTTAAAAACAATAGAAAGAAAACAATAAAAAGAAAAGAAAAAGAAAAGCTGGCTTGAAACATTCTAAGCTAGGGCTAGGCATTCATAAGTAAGAAAAAGACTTCATGTATTTATTTGGGGATTGGGTGGCAGGTCCCCAAATAATAAAATATCTGAGAGTGAAAAACAACCACCAACATCAAATAATTTAAAATTCTGCAAACATTCATTATTCACATTTAATTTGAATATTCCAGAGAGAGAGAGAGAGAGAGAGACAGACAGACAGAGAGAGAGAGAGGGAGAGAGAGAGAGAGAGAGAGAGAGAGAGAGGTGTACAAACTCAAAAGCACTCTGCTTTAAAGTCAGATGTCAAGGAAACCCAAGCTTGTGTGCAAGACAGTCACAAAGACACGATTACAGATTTTTCTCTGGATGCATGGATTTCCCTGGGAAGAGCAAATAGAAGAGATTTTTTTGAGTAAATTGTGGGTGGGATGGAGGGATTGAGGAATGGGAATTTGAGGATGCTGGTTGGGAGGGATGGGTGTGGGAGCCAGGTTGGGACAGGACTGAAGGGGAAAGTAAAAAGAGAGGTGTCTTGGCCATTTTCTGGTTGGGGAGACCTGACACCAGGGAAACGCCCAGGAATCCACAAGGATAACCCTAGCTAAGACTCCTATCAATAGTGGAGAGGATGCCTGACCTGGCCATCTACTTTGATCAGACTTGTGACTACGCCAATTGTCATCAGAAATGCCCTATCCAGTAACTGATGGAAGCAGATGCAGAGATCCACAGTCAGGCACTGAGCTGAGCTCCAGGAGTCTTTCTGAAGAAAAGGAGTGATTATATGAAGTAGGATAATGACGGGGGAACCCACAGAGACAGCATCTAACCTGATTTTGTGGGAGCTCATGGGCTCTGAACCAACAGTTAGGGAGCCTTCGTGAGACTGACTTAGGCCCTCTTCATATACTGCATGTATGTTACAATTGGGTAGCTTGGTCTCTTTGTAAGGCTCCTAGTGGTGAGATCAGGACCCTGGAGCTTAGCTGGCTTTGGGGAGGGGAAGCTGTTACCCATGCCTGATTATGTGCCCCAGCCGTGATGCAGGGGGGAGGATATCGGTTCTGTCTCAACTTGAAGTGTGCTTTGTTCAAGCCCATGGAATTTGTGCATTTACTTATTTTTAAACATTTAAAACACAGAAAACAAGATGACTAGAAACAGAATTTTCAAATACAAAATGTGTAGACTTACTAGTACATGCCATAGAAGGTGGATCTTTCTCTGCCCTGAAGTAACCCTTTTCACACTGACAGACGGAAGTTGCTTCCACGTAGGTTGAGCTGTGTGGAGGGCATTTGGAACATTTTGTGTTCCCAGCAAATGCTTTATAGAATCCTGGTCTGCAAGCTGTGTAAACAGGAAAAACAATTCCTTTTTAGTTATTACCACTAACGTTTTTCTGTTTTGTACATGTTTTAAACATGTTTTGCATCTCAGGTTTCAGTTTCATACATGTACAGCAAAGTCAACATAAACACTAATATTGATAAAATTATTCAATTATAAGAATTATTATAACTTAAGAAAATTAACTAAGCTGCTTTGGAAAGTAAACAAACTCATGCAAATGTGTACATAATCATTTTAACATTCACACACACACAATACTTGGCGGTGTATCTGTGAGGATATCCATACTTGGCCATAAAAGAGACTGTTTTATTTATTTTTAGGAGCTAGTAATAAATAATATTGAGTCCCACAGTTCAAAATTCATCCCTAATTCAAAGATGCCCCAGTCTTTCAATACTTTGAATTCACTTTTTTTTTTTTTTTTTTTTTTTTTTTTTTTTTTTTTGGCTAAGGTACATTCTTAACAATTATGCTAGTGGTTAAATATTCTATTGTCTATGATAGAATAGTATTGTTTTTTGAAGTCTTAGCTTTAAAATATTTTTTGGTAAGTGATTGAGTAATTAATAGTAAAAACATTCTTAATTCCACACGGTAAATTTAGTAGAGCATGTCTCAGCTACTCAGGAGGCTGAAGTTAGAGAACTGAAAATTCAAGATCTACCTAGTCTACATAACGAGTTCAAAGTCAAGCTTGGCAATTTAGAATATAAAACCTTCTCTTAAAGTGAAAAAAATGGGCAGAGCAGTGGTGGTGCATGCCTTTAATCCCAGCACTTGTGAATCAGAGGCAGGTGCAGATCAGTGAATTTAGTGAGTTCAAAGCCAGCCTGGTCTACAAAGCAAGTTCCAGGACAGCCAGGACTTTTATAAAGAGAAACCCTGTCTTGACAACAAACTAACAAAGTAAAAAAAAAAAAAAAAAAACTAATAAAAGGTAAATTATAGCTTATTGTCAACCATGTATATGTTTGCTTAGCATGTGTGAGATCTTATAGTCAATCCTTAGGAACACACACACACCAGATATCTCGTTCCATATCAGTATTAACAGGAAGCATATATCCATAGTAGTCTATTCTTTGACACAGTTACACTCTAGTGTTATACAGGTAATGAATTAAGAAAACCTGACAGTGGGTAAGTAATTTATAATTAATTTGCTGATATTTTCATAAGATATTCATTTAAAAGAATGTGATTTTTAAACTTGACCTGTAGCTTTCTTACAAAATCTCACATGATATCCATTTCCATTCACTCAAGTATTTATATTTTGTCAAAGAAAAAACTGCTGCTTAATTATACAATCTAAAATAATTTATATAGAATATATTTTAACAATTTTAATAATTATTTTTAAATTGAACCTATTTAGAAGTTAAGTATTTTTAATCTAATAAATTTAAAATCTGATAAGGTCAATTTACATAGAAATACATATATAATTGAGGTGTTTGCATATTGAGCATCTCCATTTTATGTATAATAGGTAAATATTATTTGAGAGGTACACAGAGGTATTTTGTTTTACAATGTTTATTATCCATTCAAATTTTACAAATATTGCCTACTATATCAAAGTAGACTGCTTTTAACTTACATCTGGTAAGACATTATCTCTTATTTATTTTCTTTGCTAACTAAAATGTACAGAACTATGTCTCTTCTAGAAGGTCAGTGATTAACGTGCCACCATGATTCTAAAATGCTTACACAAAATTGTTTCCACCAAAGTGTCTTTTTCACCTGCTATCACTCAGCCTGATACCTTTGTGCTCACTCTCTTTGTTCAGCTAGTTTCTTTAAATGCCACCTTCTCACTGAGAGCCTCCTGGATCCCTCTTCCAAAACTGTAAACCCTGTATTACCATGCCATGGAATTCATACTGCTTTCCTTTGCTTCTAAGTGATTTAACAACACCTGACATTTGGTACATTGAGTTTTAAAAAAACATCTACCCCTAGATTGTATGTTTTATCAGGCAGAGATTTCTATCTGTTTCATCTGCCAAATTTCATCTCCATGTCTTTAAAAGACTGCTAGGCACTTTTGACCCTCAAAGAGTATTTGAGACATGTGAATGACTGACTTGTTGGGAGACTTTAATTTCTGTACAATTCTCATGTTTCATATGTTTATTTGTTTGGGGTCTGATGTGAGTCTTTCTCAGGGTTGGCAAATCTCTTTTCTGATCATAAAACCATGACCCACTCACTGTAGTAACTAATCCCTAATTGTCTTTCCCATCTCATGGATCCTGTTCTCAACACATCAACTGCCATTTGAACATATTTCTTATGGCAAATATTTATTTTACCATATTATGTGTGGGTTTCATAAGGAACAGGTTGGCACAATACCTGTCTGTAGTAGGTGCTTAAATTCACACACTCATTTGAATTGGACAGTGAGAGGCTGCTGTCCTGATTAATTTTCTGCAGAGGGCCATGAATAGCTACTCAGTGCATGCCATGGTCATGTCATTACCTATTATCATAGGTTTAAAGTGTTTTCTTTCCTTTTAGAAGCACTACATGATAAGTAAGAATAACATGCTACTTTGAAATATATTTATGATTGCTCCAATATAACAAAATGAATGATTTAGGAGGGGAGCAAAGGAGTAAAACTGAGGGCTTAAGTACATCTCAGTTGTCACAGTTCTTCAATAGCATATGTGAAGCCTTGGGCCCCATGTTCAATACTATGTAAGCCAGCCATGCTGCTAACCCAGGCCTGTCATTTCAGTACTTTGTACAGGGGGCCAAGAAGATTAGAAATATGAAATTACCTCTGGTGACACAGTAAGACCAGGCTGAGATACATAATACCCTCAAAATAAAATAAAAAGTAAATAAAAATAAAAAGTATCAAAAGGAAAAGAAAAATAAGTTAGTAAAACAAAATTAGTTAAAAAAACAAAGATATTATAATTAAAAGACAGTAAAAATCTGATAAAACATAAAAATTTACATTAGAAATTATTGCCCACATTGATTTTGATTATTTATCTCAGTACATGTACATTTCTTTGTTTACTGTTTCATGTTTATATTTGTGTTTGTATATATATATATATATACACATATATATATATATATATATAAAATTTCTGGTATTAAAGGTAATAGAAGCATGCTATTCTAACCACTTGTTTCCTCCAAAGCATCCATTGATGTTATATAGAGTTCAAATTGTGTCATGATTCATCTATGGTATCACATCTGTCAACTGAAGGTTTGGTGAATTTCACAAGACAGAGATGAACATCACCTTGATACTATAAGCTGTTATTATTATATTTCAAGTATATACTTAGTTTTCACAAAAAATTAAAAATTGAATGAAATAACGAATATTTATTTCATTAGTACTTGCTATGAGATTACTACAAACTGGAGGAATGGTCTGTATCTATTCAGTTAATGGTTTAAGTTTTGGTTGTAGTTCTGGTTGAGATGAAATAACAGCATCTATACGTTGAAAACCCTAGAACTGCTTTCTTGTAATGTAGTTTGTTTGCTTTCCCTATAACAACCTGTTTTGCTACTTATACAGTGTCATTTCCTGCTACCAATGAACAAAATAAGCAGAACAGCTTGACGATTGCCTGCAGCCTAGGTACAAATATCTTCCAGCATATGTCAATACTCAACAAAATATTGTTGGAAAGCTAAATTTTTCTGATGTGGTTGTTTCTGTTCTTTGGCTTCTCTTTTAGCGGGGAAGTTATTCAGATATGGCCCTACAGTTTAAATCTCATTTGCATCCAGTTATTGTACCCACTGTGGCTTCCATCCAGAATCATACAGATCTGTTTTTTAAATCTATGTCTGGACTTGATGCATTAATCTCAGAATGCCTGCCTCTGCTTTCTGCCAGCTCAGATTATCTCCCAAGTCACTGCAGTTGCATCTCTAAACACCTAATATGACTGTGGTACTGTGCTTTGTTCAGCAGAAAATGGAAAGTGATTTCTGTGTTCCCACGCTTGACCTTCTGTCTAATTGGGTATGAACAAAAGCTGAGAAGAATAAACATTTTAATGATTATATAAACATATGATACATGTGACTTAGGCTCTTTGTGTGCCAAGCCTGAAGTATATACTGTATTGTGCTTTGTGGGTAATGTTTAACAATGCATGGTCTCTGACATACCAGGCTAGCATTTATATTTTTCCTCAGTTGTTTGAACATCTACAAAGTGTGGGTGCTCACTGCTGCAAAGATTTTAAAGCATTTGTCATTCCTCACATACAGCACATCAGTTTACAGATTGCTTGAGGTACAGCCACCATGCTAAAGCTGTATACACAGTCTGCATTTAGTAAAATACAGCTGAAAACTATGACAGCAATTGCAGTGACTTAACTACATCAATTCCAGTCTTACTACCTTTTATTTTTAACTGGTATTTTTTTATATTTGATATTTGTTCTGTTGGTAGCATAATTTTTTTGGTCTTTTACCTCTTTATTTATTCACTTGTTTCTTTTAAATACAGTTCAATTACCTTTGCCATTTGATTGGGGTGGTTATATTATTTGGCTTAATATGGTTACTCAAATCTTACATAATTCTTAATAATTTTTAACTTTTATTTTTATGCATATGGTGCTTTGCCTGAATATATGTCTATGCACTATGTGTGTGTGTGCAGTATACATGAATGCTAGAATGGGTGTTGGATTTGTGGAATTGTAGCTACAGACCATTGGGAACATCTATGTGGGTGTAGGAACCAAACCCAGGTCTTCCAGAGAAGAGCAGCCACTTTGCTTAAATTCTGTGCCATTGCTCTAGCCACTAAATCTTAGTCCTTAAGTATATTTTTCTAGTACTGGTTTTCATTTTGTGATATTTGTTCATTGTTTCCCTTTCAACATTTTTACCTCTTCTTTAAGAATGTCAGTATACTTTACATATGTTTTCAAAAATGATTTTTGGTTGGTTTACTGTACAATTCAGATGAGCACTCAGAAAGAGCC